TTCTTGAATCTAACAAGGCTAAGACTTTGTGATTTTTTGGTCTTAAACAAAATTCTATTGTGAAACAAAGTGAGAGATCTAAGGAGAGAATATAACCTTTAATAGGTATAATACAAGATTTCAACTGCACAGTTCTTATTATAATTGGAAAAACTTATTTTTCAATACTTTGTCCTTCTTTGTCAACTATACTCCTCATTTTGCAATTGTGTTGCTTCTTTGAATAATGTTGAGTAATGTGTTTTGGTTCTCTAAAAAATAAGTACATATCTTCTTCACAATGATAAATCTATTCTTATTCAGTAAGAAATTTAAAACATCCTATGTTAATTTGCATAAGCTTTGTCCTAGTTAAGTAAGATTTTGAAAACTTTTTAGATGTTTCTATGATTCGATTTGTACTTCTTTAGCCAAATCATTGTTCTTGGTATCTTTCAATGAGTCAATTGTTGCATACAATGGCTTAAGTAATAAATTACTCCAATAAATCTGCTTTTAGTATTATCAATAATAAATCTTTGACATTATCTTTCAATCAATATCAAAATTGATTAAAAAGGTCTCTGCCATTCTAATCCACATTAGAAGTAAGATTTTAGAATTTAACAACATTTGTGGTTGTTGAACATGATCCTTATTATAGAGATATAAATTTGATATCTATTATCCTTTTTTAATCATTTTTTTCAAATATAGTCGTAAATACTTCCAAGAATGAATTCAAATCATAGAATAGTTATAAATTTTTTTCTATCAAAGATACAAATTAAAAGAGAGTACTTTTCTATAAAAATGCACCTATAAATCCAACTTGAATAAATCAATCGAGTTGTTAGAAATGATACAACCTTAAATAAAATTTAATTTGTTATAAAAATCCTTAAAATTTTAATCTTGTTCCATTAAACTTCTCAAGCATATTAATTCTTACCTCTCTCATGCTTGTAGAAGAAAGACTTATTAAAATTAGTTATAAGGGTGATCTACTTGCTTCCTTTAATTACATAATTTCTTAGCATAGATTCTAGACTTCTTTCATATATGTAGGAATAGTGCTTTTGTTATTGGTATTAGTAATACATGAAATTTCTATTCTAAGAGTACTGACAAGCTCATGAAGATCTACAATAGTTGTAAATCTATTGTCACTTTTGTCAAGTGTAGCATTTATGATTTTTTCTTATTTTAAACAACTTAGTAAATCTATAAATAAAATTAGAAGGGAGTAATTTCCAACCTCTAATATCAAATAAAATTTTTAAAAAAGATGGATGATCTCTTCTCTTTAAAGATAATTTATTATAAAAAAATTAAACTATTTTTTTTAAGGTGGATAGTCTACAACCTTCAAAATAAAACAATAAAAGTAGAATAATCCATCTTTTATATAATAAGACAAGAACAATGAGTTAGTACTCTTGTCAAATTGTCAAGAATATGAATTTTAAAGAAAGAAAACCTCAATACATTCTACTATCTTTATGTAGACTTTACTTAAAGATGGTAATATATTAAATTAGAATGGCTATTATTAAAGAAAAAAACTAGAAAGTCTTGAAACAAGGATAAATAATAGAAAAACATTGATAAGAGTGAAAAGGCTTCATTCTTGCCTCTATATATACTATCTAATTAAAAGCTATGTGGCAATATTCTATAGGATCTCCAATAGTTATTGACTTTGCTAAATACATGTTTTAACTTCTAAGGGAAGTTTTTTATATGTGTGTCATATAGTTAGTTTGTTCCACATGTTATCAACACATGTGATACATGATTAACTTGTTGACCAAGTTTCTAACCTACCAATCAACTACAAAGTTGTGTAAAGTCAAAATTGCATCTATAAAGCTTTTAGAAAGCTTCTTTAAAAGATATTATGAAATTACTTTATATTTATTTATTTCTACCTAATCATATAAGTAATTATTAGAATAAATACATATATCTATGATAATAATAAAAAATTGTAAAAAAAATAAGTTTTCCTTATAAGATATATATAGATATTATATCCCATTAATTTGAAGTTGCTACAAAAGCACCTCTTTGTCTTTACTTCTATAGTTTCAAATTATGATACAAATTTTTGTATTGATATTTCTGTATACATGTCACTTCTAGTTCTATTTCTTGTTCCTTGTTGTCTTTCTTTTGGACAATTCACTCATGGATTTTTTAATTGCATAGTTATTATTGAAAGCTCAACTAATCTTTTATGTTGATTTCCTTATTGGTGAATAAATAAAATATCAAAATTTTGACTAAAATTGGTATAAAGTAGATGTAAACTTTCAAAAGAGAATAGAATTGTAGGTAGTATAGAAATAAACTAATCAAAAGTATTTACTAAGTATTATTAATGTTAAAAATCACTAATTAATAAAAAATCTTTTTTTTCAATAAAATTCATATGTGATGCTTATATAATAGAGCTAATGTATTTGTCATTTTTCTTGTATAGGAAAAAAATTATCAATTTTTACTCTTGCTTATTTATATTAATTAAGAAAAAGATTAAAGCCATGTAAAGATATATATTTTACAAAATTGGTGAAAAAACCAATATTATGTTGATGAGTAATATGGATTTGTTCTAAACTTTCTTAAGCCTTCAATTCTTTTCTTGTAGTCTCAAAAAAATAAGAGAGAAAAATTTAAACTTCTATAAGATCTTTGGTGGAGACTTTTAAGTAGGATTTTAACACTCAATGTTAAACTTCTATTTGTCATATAGTTGTATTTCTAAAATGAAATAAATTATTTATCCAAGCTTTAACAATTTTTTTCTTATATGGTATCTTAGTGTTCTTTAAGTACTCAATAGTTATATGATTAAAATTAGATTAATTCTTAATAAAAAAAGATTCCATTTTTTCTTAGAAAAAAAATAACACCAATGGTAAATAATGCATTAAAACTTATCATCCCTACAACATGTAATATTAGCATTCTAAATCTATTCATTTTGTATGTCTAATCTATGACAATGGAAAAATGGTATTTTTTTGTAAATTAAATACAATTAGAATGTGCAAAAAATAAACAAGTAATTTTATCTTCTTCATTAAAATAATAAATAAAATAATAATTAGCTCCTTGTAAAGTTTCCATAAGACATATAATAGATGATTGACTAGCAAGTACCATACAATGTAATTTCTATAACTCATTATAAATAGTTTGAATAATGACTTTACTATTAGTATCATAGTTATCATGAAGTTAGTTTTTTTTTGATTGGTTGCAAACAATGAGCAAATGAATGGCGTAAAAGAAAAGAAGTATTTTTATGGTTATAAAGAGCATTTCAAACAATCAAATGCCATTGAATATTATTATGCAAACAACCAACATGCAATACAAATGGACATCCTGTCAAATGACTTATATTATTTTGATTGTGAGTATATCAATTGCAATCATAATAAATCTCTCCTCTATCACACTTGTAATCAAAGTAATCTTTATCAAAGCACCATTTGCATATGATATAGCCTTCATTATACATAAATGCATTAATACTACATTTTATTTCTTCTATATTCTTAAAATATTCTTTTGGTGGTGCACGCATATATCTCTCACTTTGCATTGCAAAATGAAATAAAATTATAGAATATTCAATTTTTTTCCTTTATCCACTAGATATAATCTGAAAAAGAATATATATTAGAATTATATGAAGAAGTAAATTGAATACACACATACTTACAAGATAAGTAGAAGAAGACCAATAGAAAGACATTATTACTAGTTTTTGAGAATTATTAAGAATCGTTGAAAATTATATATAGAATAATGATTCTATTTATCTAAATATAGATTTATTATCTTAATAATAAAAAATATTTGTACTATCCATGTGCAAAATTGTATTGATGGGTGGATGGTTTTACTAAAAAATTGGATTGTTTTATCATTCTTCTAAAATAAATAATTATATTCATTACATTTATATTTTTATAGATATATCTAAACATGCTCACATAGATGAATTGATTTACATCATGTAAGTAATAAAATCCATTAAATTACTAACTTATAAATGTATATATATATAATAATGTGACTTATATTTATTTTTAAGGCTTCAAAGTATATCACTCAAAACAAAACATAAAATATATTCTTAATTAAGTTTTTATCATTTATAGAGTTTCTTTCAATAAGATAAGAATCATGAGTATAAGAATAATATTCTAAATACTAATACTTTATTAAAGCACTTTAAAATGAATTAAATTGAATTTCAATTAGTGTTATACTTATAATCATTTAAATACAAGACATATATATATTTTTTTAAGTAATATTTCTTTTATTTTTTAATATTTGAATAAAAAATTATATATATATATATATATATATATATATATTTAATAATCACTTACAATCATCATACAAATTTCAAATAAAAATCTGAAATACTTATCTATCTATCTATCTAATTGTATTTTAAAATATTATATTTAAATCAATTTTTATCTTTATTTTAAAATCCAAAAATAAGATCATAAAAAATAATTTTTTTATATCTTCATTTATATATATATATATATATATACATTAATTTTTTTTATTTAGTTATCAAATTTTAAAATAATATGTAATATTTTGATAACAAAAAATATTTTATTATATATATATATATATATATATATAGAAAGAGAGGCACACATACATATACACAATGCAATATCCTTCTTGTCTAATATTGAAACATACGTTCACTGCTTTGCAATCTTATTCAAATTGTTAAATCCTAAAAATACCCAATTCAACAACGTTTACCTATTTTATCCATAAACATCATCTACCCAACGAAGAGCATGAAACCACATCATTCATCGACGTCCACAACGATGATCGGCATAGTTCGTTCATCTATTGCGTCTCCGTCTCCGTCTCCCGGTCTCCCGGTCTCGTACCGTGGAGGCCGGCGAAACCCGCCGGCGTCACATGAAGGGCAACGAATAATAAACGACCATGGAGCCAAACCTCTCTCGTCTGCTTCGCAAACCTACTTCACTACTCACATTTTGAAACATTCTTCTCATTTAATATTAAATTTGAACGTGCGTCAGAATTAGAGCGAGTCTCTGGTTTTAATTTGTAGAGGGGAGGTATGCTCGCTCCTCTATTCTGCATGTTCACATATTTTTCTCTTAAAAATTCACTTTCAGATCGCTCATTTTGGTTTACGTGGCTTGCTGCAAGGCTCATGCAATCTGAATATTCAATGTCTTGATGTTTGATTTAAGGTCGTGTATATCGCTGCTTCTGGCTTGGAGTGTGCAGCTGTTCGTAAACGTTGATCGATTCATCTCGCATAAGGGCTTGGAGGAGACGGAGGTGGAGTGAGGTGAAGTTCTTTGACAATTTTGTTTAATTTGTATTCTTTTGACATTTAGAGTTGGTAATTTGAAGTTGTTATAGTTGTTAATTTGAAGTTGTGAGTACACTTGTTGCCAGCGGAAATGCTGAGGGTGATTTTGCGCATGTGTTGGAATGCAGATGGCGGTTGGAGTGGGGAAGAGAAAGAAAAGAGACAGAGGGAAAGGCGTGGTTGCTGTTGCTCGGTAGTTGACAATCGGATTTTGCGGTTAGGTGCTCATCCTGGCTGTAGTTTCGAGTTTTTAGATGTTGTCGTGAGTGATTCGATCAATCAGACACAAGTCTGCATTACGGTATCGGAGAGGATGACTATTTGATAGCTCACGTGGTTAAGAACGCGCTGAATTTGTAGATGACATGCGCAATAAAGCCACATCGGTGTCTACATGACGAAAAGATGCATAGGAACCTGGGTGAATTGTATGGATCGTGGGAATAACCAGTTGTAGCGATGGAATATGGCTCAATTAACAATGTGCGTCAGTGTGCAAAGGATATGTATGCTATCAAAGGGGTAGGCGCAAGGGTAGCAGTGTGAAAATTTGGTGCTGATGGAATTTAGACATTGAAGACCTCGAACATGGCAAGTGAGGAGGAAATCGATCCTGGAGAGAGTGGTTTGGATCCACCACAAGAGTCACTACCGCCTCCAAACTTCCCAAATGGCAGACGGCCATCAAGTGGAACAGACATAGGATTTGAGGATTCTAGTTCGGAGCTTGCACCAGAGGAATCAGGAGGTACTAAGTTTAGGTCGTCGGTCCAAGGTCGACGAGCGACATCGAAAATAGGCAGCAATGCAGCGGAAGAAGCAGGTAGCGGTAGGCGAAAAATTAGTAACTCAGGGTCAGTCCTGAAAGCTCGAGATTTCGAAACTGTGGACGGACGGCCGCCTCGGAGAAAATGGAGTTCAAGGCGGGCGTCGAAGGGCCAAGATAATCTAGACTCAGATAGTCCGGAGATGAAAGAGCTGTTGCGTAGGTTGAAGGAGGTAGAGGCAAGCTCCAGCAGTGGCAGCACTGCCCATGCCAAGCTTACTTCCCCAAAATCTGGTGAACACCATCGTGGCATTAAGGTTGATTCAATGAATCATCGAATCATCTGTATTGCATGATTTATGGCCTGGCTGTTAGTTTGTAGGCTGCAGAGTGAAAGCTATGAATGAGTACTAACAGCATTCTGTATTATTTCGCAATTTTTACCGTATGCATGCTGAGGTGAACGCAGTTCAATCACTATTTATTCTGGATTGAGGCAGGCACTTCACAGGGCGGTTCAGGAGAACGAGATGCCGATGCGGCTGGCATATGAGCAACTCGACGAACTTGCTGCTAATGCTGAGCGCGTTAAGTCCGCGATTGAAAGAAACCGATCCCTGCTCACCCTTCAGGTGATCCATTCATGATGCTGCAATGGGATTGGATTCTAAAATTCAAACCGACAAGAGAAGAAGTGATCAGTAAACTTTGCAATGTCTTGGTGTACTTATTTGTGCTTTGTAGGTGAGAAAAGCCAACGAGAGAATTTTGCGAGTTGCGTTTATGGCTTGGAGCTTGGAAACCGAATATTACAAGCAAAAGAAACGGCGGTTAAAGAAGGCGTTCTTGTGGTCCATAAGAAGGGTTTCGTCACGTGCGTTCAAATGTTGGGGTTCATGTGCGAAAGTAGGCAAAAAAATGAGACGTTTCGAATCATCTGCCCACAAGCTTCTTCAGCGTCGAAAACTATGTCTAACTTGGTGAGCTTTCTTGAACAGTGAAGTTAACATTGCTAACTATCATGGTAAACAGGCATTTTGTCAAATGGTTTTTCTATCCTTTTTCCCTGATGACACACTGGTTGTAGGAAAGCGTGGAGAGTTCTGATCGCGGAGATACATCGCAAGGATGAAGAATACAAGTACGTCCACTTTTCCCTGTCTGCTGATTTTGGTGTTGTTTCAATAATGGTTTGGAGCTCTCCACAAGAATATGTAAGGTTGAAGATATTTTGTTTAAGACCCCACGTGCATTAGCATGTGAGCCGCCACAGTACAGACTGACCACCACGACAATAAGAATTGCCTGACAGTTAAGGAATCTGCATACAGGAAAGAAAAGCGGCTGCGGAAGAGTTTAGACAAACAGTCAAAAGAAGACAAGGCAAAGCGGGCCTTCTCTATGATGAGACGATCCAATTTGTGTCGTTACTTCCGCTTCCTCCAGGTATTCTTTCGAACCGTGATGGTTTCCACTCGTTTCAAGTTCTTCTAATTTCTCTGCAATCCTGATTTTTCCAAGTTTAAAGATGAATTCGAGATGAAAGTATGGTGGTACTTATGTGCCTGCTTTCTTCAAGCTTACTTATTGCTCCTCGAGAGTAACTTGTTAATTGCCAAACTACCTACGAAGAAGTTGACGAAAGAACGGGAATCCAGGAGGGAGTGGAAGCAAGATTACAATCACGAAAGTTCTTAAGGCAGACTCTGATTTTCCTCCTTAAGAAAAGTGCTTTTCGTGCGTTTGCTGCACTTAGGGAAGCTACTCGGAAAAGAGTGCACGATCGAATATTCATCAAGTAAGTCTTTTCAAAGTGTGTTTGTATCCAGAGCTTGTATACCCACGTCCCTCGAAGAATTCATGCGCAGAATTTCTTAACACGTTTGAATGGAATTGCTCCATTTCAATTCGACTTGAAATTATAAGCTTCTTCACATAGTGAAACCTAGTGAAGCGATACATGGAGGTTACGTTGAGTTTGACTCCTATGATACAATCTATTGGAATAACAAATATCCTTTTGGTGCATAAATCCAGGGCTAAGCAACGAATTTTTACGCTCAGGAGGTGTTTTGATTACTGGTGGAAATCATTAGAGAAAAACTTTTACTTACTCCGCCCATTTGAAGATAACCGTATTTTGCGCACTATGTTTCACCAGTGGAGGATTAGGGTTAAGTACAATGAATACCTGAGGAAGCGGGACCAGGCCTTCAGGAAGAAGTTAAATCGTAAAATGGTGCGACGATGTTTCATGGCATACTTGGACGTTGTGAAGGCACGTAAATGCGTTCGTGGAGTCATAGCGCGCCAGTTGCGCAAATCAAACAGAAAACTTCTAAACCGGTGCTTTCAGAGCTGGATTGCTTTCATGCAGGTCTAATTTTAAACTCTCACTGTTTCACTGCCTTTGGTAGAGAACTGTTCATGAGAAACTCAAATATGTCAGCAACCTAAACGGCACTATTTGGATGTAGCACAACAGTTTGCGAACTGCACTTCGAAAAGGAACATTGAGAAAGTCATGTTATAGTCTGAAATTTGGGAGTGCTTTTTTGCTCTTGATCCAGTTACTGACACAAGAGGGCACCAGATGGGAGCACAAAAGAAGATGCAATACGTGCAAAGATTCGCCAGTGCAGCTGAAAGAGAGAACGAGAAACTGCGTTCAGATAACGAAAGGCTGTCAACAATCATCGATACAGGTGAATGGAAGAAGGATCGTGTATCTGACTTGAATGCAGCACAGCAAGTTCTTTCCGCGGAACGTGTCGCTTTGACAAAGCTCATTGGAAAGCTGCAACGGCAACATCAACTGGCGCTCGACCAACAAGGAGAACAGGAACGGGAGATCAAGAATCTGAAGGATCAGCTAACGTCAGAGGTGAACATTTCTGTAACATGCCACAATTCAGAAGTTGTCACTCTTTCGGAGTTGACGGTTTTTGAGGGTAATTAGTATATCAGTGTTGATTGGTTTAAAGTTTTTCGCGTCTCCTTGGCACTACAACGGGTTTTGGGGTACATGTTTTAAGTATGCATTGCAGAGTTGGGTAATGTATAAATGTTCGATTGCTCGGTATCGAAATTCTCTACAGGGTAACAACCGAAGTTTTGCTAAAATGGTATTTCTACGAAACTACCTTATACGCATTTTAATGGAAATAAATACATCTAAATCTATTGCTCATTAATACACAGAACAAATTACAGCGCAACAAACTTCTGGTTAAAGGAGCTTCCAGCTTCAACACCTTGATGCGAGTCATGAGACATGATGTAAGTGACTTTTGGGCATCTTTAAAGAAAATCCGAAATGAATTTGCAAGTCGAATTTCCTTCGTCATGACATGCTTCTCAACATGCAGATGATGACAAGAGGAGTCTCAGCCACTCCCGAGGTCATCTACGAAGTTAATAAGATGGCTATGGATCAGGTAGGAGGATCTGATCTTCTCCAACCTAAGAATATTGTCAATTCCGTGTATTGGGTATCAAAGGTTCCAAGGAACTTATCAGCTTGAATGCACTCTGTAAGCAGGTGGCCGTGTTTCCAGACGGGGAGCTTCATGTCCGAGCAATGAAGCCTCGCAACAAGGGGAAATGGTCCAACATACCAAATCCCCAAAGAACACCGTCGGTGAATTCGAACAGACCATTGGGGAGCTCTGTTCCCTACACCCCCAGATCTCCTCTGAAACCCCGACCACCAAGTCCCCCACTATCGTATAAGAGGTACACTCGCAACACAGACAACTAAATATGCGCCTAGGGCTGTGTCAAGATTTGCACTCCCTGCCCATGGCCCTTTTTGCAGCATTTTGGCTGTCATGACCCACTCAACTGCTTCAATGTGAACGTATTTTCCAAACTAAGAGAAACAGGTATACTGGTAGACGCGATTACCTTCTCTACAAAAAACAAAACAAAATTTCAACGAGAGCAGTATGGGTTCATGTTTGAGGTCAAGGAACTAGACTGGTCTTTAATGTGCATGAGTCCATGAGCTCTTGGTTGAACTAAATCATTTCAAACCAAAGGATGTATCTCCATAAAAGTGTTCCGTCAACAAATAAATTTGGAATAAAATCTCTGGTGATTAATTACTCTCCTTAGAATATATATATATATATATATATATATATATATACATATGTTTTATTTTATTATTTTATTATAGTATAAAATCTAGTCATGTAGTTTAGCGACGCTTTTAAATTGTTTCTGAAAAATTTGAAATGATTTTAAATGTTTCCGTCCTTAGAATTTAAATTATTTATTATTTATTATTTAAAATTATTATCATTATGATTCATCAAATAATTATTCCGAAAATGAAAATTTTTCTTTATTAGACCAACTTCTAAAATTTCAATCAAACCTTATATAAAAATTAAATTCATCAAACTATGGATCTATTTAACATGTTATGAAACATCCATGTCTAATAAAATATCCCTAAATTTGAGTAGTTATGAAAAAGGGATACGTATGTATATAGTGAATAATAAATTCACAGTATAGTATATAATGTTGTAATTAAAATTAATAACAAATTTAAAGATTTAAAGTATTTGATTTTTGAATGTAAGACTTGTATGCAACAATATGAGGGTTTAATATATTTTAAAAGCACATAATTATATATATATATATATATATATATGCATACACACACACATAATTTTAATATCAATTCTTTAAAAAATATTTATATTATGTGCCATACTTATTTAAATTATTATGTACTATAACCCTTACAAAAAACCATTGTGAGATTCGTCCGATTTTAAAACAAACTGAATGCACATATCGCATTAGGTCGAACCAGTACAAAAACCAAGTTATTCTCAATAAAATAGTTCTTTTAGGGTTTTATCTAATTTTCATGAAACAAATCCAGCCTTTCTCACCATTCGGCACCCATTCGACACCAACCAATTAAAGTAAAAGTTTGAGCGTATCTTTTTGCGTTTTCCTTTTTCTAGTTCCGCTTGCGATGGCCGCGCCAGACGCCGAATCTCGAAGCGCGTCGCAGCGCGCAACCAATGCCAGTGTCGACGACAGAACGAATCTGAAGAAGATTTGGGCGTGTTCGAGGATCCACGAAGTTGACGCTGCGTTGAAATCCGATCTAGTGAAGATGGATCATGGATCGGGTGTGAGGGGAGAGCGGGGGGGGGGGGGGGGGGTAAGCCTGATCGACATGGGATGCGCTTCGAGGTCGCGAAATGCATGGCCGTTGACAAGCTAGCTAGCCAGATCGCGACGCAACGCCATTGCCAAGCGCCTCGCGAGAGAGCATCAGAACCTGGAAACGATAGGTTTCGGCAATCGCGAGGGTGTGCTAGAATTATGGGGGTTTAGAGGCCATGGAACCGGGGGATTTGGCTATATATGGAGTGCGAGCATCGCGGGGGAAGATGTTGTGCAGGGAGCGGAATCAGATGTAGGGCAATGAACAATTCCGCACTCAAACGTGAGATCACTGACGCAGGGTGCTAAACGTGGATTTCGAACCATGCGCCCTTCTCGCGTTCTCTCCGGGAAGCGGCCTCGCGCGCAGGAGGCTTTGCTTGCGCTTCCTTCTTCCTGGATGGGTGCAGCTCGCTGGGCTACGCTCCTCTCACGCTGTCTGCGCTCCAGCCCAGTGCAAGATTGCGTCGCGCTGGCCCTTTCTCTGCTCGTCTCTCCTTTCGATCCTCCTGCGCTGGGATCGTCGGAATGCCGCCCTTCCTCCATTGCAATCCGGAGCCTGCTCTTGTTGTTCCGTCCCGTGCCTCTAACTCCTAAATGCTGCTTCTTGATCTACAGGTTTAGTGGGTTCAGGCTGGAACATGCCTTGTGAGAAAATAGGTCCGTGGTATGGAACCCGTGGTGCTACTCCAGGCTTGTGTTGGATCTTTGTAGGACCGCGGCTTGTGTATTGTAGCAATCTAAGGTAAGACTCTCTACACACAGGGAAACGCTTTCCTCTTAGATATGATGATGATTATTGCCTAAGCGTCCCCTGTTTGTCTCTATTTGCGTTTTTAGGAATTAGTATCGTCAATGTCTATGACCCTGGTCGAGGTTTTGAGCTTAATCTGCTCCTGTTAAATTTATCTGCTACAGAATAGCGTGCTATTGTTGTGGAATCGTTTCGATTGACGATAGCAGGAGAAGCGCACTTTGTGCTTCGTCGCTAACGTGATTATGCTAATTCCAGCACTTCCAGTCGCATCTTGTTTGTGATTGAGTTTCCGCACTGATTGTCAGTGTCTTTTGTTTGCTTTGTAGATGATCACGTTGAAGAACGTATAGTTCAACTCCGGCAAGGTCACGGCCAGGAAATTTTTCCCTTTCTCCTAGAGTGACAGATGCCATCCCTCCTTGATTGCAGGTTTTGTCCTTAATTAGATGGTTTGTAGAAGCCGTCTTCACTTGCGGTTGCGCTACAATGTACCCAAGGCCCTGCAAATCAGCACCGGAATGCCTTTTAAGCACTGCTTTGGGGGCTTATGTGAAGCGAGGCTATGACATGACATGTAACAAAGTGAGATGGGTGGTGCTACTAGCTATCGATAGTTGTACATTGTAGAAAGCTGCATTCAACCTGCTGCACAGGCTCAAGAAGAGTGAGCGACCAAACAATGGACGATGGCGACAGGGGATGGCCTTTGTGTCAACATGCTATCCAAGCCAGGTATCGAGCCTTGGAATCAAAAGACGGCGAGACCAGGTGTTGGAGACTGAAATCCAAGCATCTGGGTTATGATGCAATGCTGCAACAGCTTCCCGCTACGCTTTCAAGGTCTCAGTCCATTCGAGAAGCGTACTCACGATCGCGGAATCTTCAGCGAATGCTTCGACGCGCTGGGTTAGCAGACATGAACGGTAGAGGGTCGCAGTCTGTTCCTGTGTCGTCACCATCCTCAAGTGACTCACAACCCGAAGCACATGCATCGGCACCTCATGATCTATCAGGATTGAATATCTATGCCATTGGTTCAGTAGAAGAAGAAGATCCTGTTGCCAGTTCTAGTAGCACAGTCAGGTCGAGTGTCAAGCTTGAAGCTTCAAGAAAGGATTCCAAGCCTACCATGTTCCTTGCCAAGCAATTCAAGATGATTTCAAATAGTGCAAACAGGTCCCCTCGAAGAAATATCAAAATTCTGGGTAAGGCTCATGGTGAAAACTACGATGAAGCGAGCTTTACTGTGTGTAGTGCTGAGACGACATCTGCTGCTGAAAAAAGTGAACGTGGCCAACTGGAGAATCGTATGCAAATGCATGATCGCGTGAGAGAGTACTTTGATGATTCAGCCTTCAATTCCAGTACAGAGAACTTTGCACTTCAATGCGCCTCCATTGTGGAACAAGGTTCGTTGTCCAAATCCCCGGGGCGGTGTTTGTCTAATTCGTGCCTTTCAAAAGTGGAATCAGAGCTTTCAGTCCCCGAAACTATTTTGTCTGCCACGCCGGACAACAGAACAGGTTGTAGATCCAAGCTTTCCCCGACGAAAAGCCAGGAACTTTTCGGCTCCTTCGATGTTGAAGAACTTGGCATCATTGAGAAGGAACATTCGATTTCTTCCCACTCGTCGAGTTTCGACCAACAAGACCTCTGTTACAGTCCAGGTAATTCCCAAACTCTGCCGGCTTCAACAAACCCTGGACATCATGATGCATCCAAAATCATATATCTAAGATTTTCAGACTTGGTGTATGTGGCAGACGAATCCCTGAACAGTTCAAGCTCGGATGCCTATTCACCGGTTCAATACTCAGACACATCGTCGCAGGAGTGGAGTGCGAATCGCGATCACAACTCAGGCCGATCACGTCAGCGAAGTCGAATCCTACGTCGCATGAAGGTAACAAGCCCCTCGTCCTTGTTTCGGGATGGTCCTCACGACAACGGGGTGGAGTATCGTAAGCCACGAGGCGAATCTTCAACCAAAGCAGCCGTTCCGAATCAGAGAAAACCCAGCAGAAAAATGGTGCCCACTAGCTCACACCCAAATGCAAATCCCAGCCCAAATTCCAACTCAACCCCTCCTCCGAAAATGGAAGCAAGTTACAGCCAGAAAACCCTTCACATCGCGGGCATGTTCTCTAGCTTCCGATCAGCTGAAGGTTGCGTTTCCATCTCGCAAAAAGAAGCTGTAGCGGCGTTTCAAGACGACATTGCCCACATGATGCTTGAGGAGCAGGACAGTGACGAGGTGGCCGACATCGAGGAGTTTCTCGACGGCTACATGCACCTTAAATCTCCGTTCTATCTCGAGGTTGTGGAGGAATTCTTCCGAGCGATAAGCTACGATTGTTACCACAGACCCTAGGGAGCAAGGCGATCACGGAATTTCTCACGGCATTAAAACCCCCACCTTAATTTGTTTCTATTCTTTTGGGGTTCTTTCATTGCACACCCATCTCCGCATTGTTCATAAATCGATCATTCTTCCTTCTGGGTCGCGCGATTAGTCCCTATCTGCAACGCGACGCGACGGGAATTAGGGCTAGATTAGGGTTTCGTGACTGGGGCGAATCAGATTTCTTCCGCGCGCCTTCCTGTTGACATTTTGCATTCTTTTGAACTGGGGAGTAATCAATATCAACCCCTAAAATAGACTTTCCCCTTTTGGGGTCTTCTCAAATGGATGAAATGGCTTCATTGTGTTGTACTTCTTGTGGAAGCGTTTGTAAATTCCTTTTGGATATAAATGCACTGTTATGGTTTTCGAAAACAGTGAGTTTTGTTTCTTTATGTACTTTGTTTTGATTTACACACAAGCCGATATACTACAGTGCTGCACAAAGGGTTTTAAATGTATGCCAAAAATTAAGGTTGTTAATTATGCAATCATAAAAATAAAAGTAAAAATAAATGCTAGAAATCACAAATTGCCGTTGATGGTTGTTTGAATGCTAAAACTATTTAAATACTTACATCAGAAACACATTGTTGGTTGGGTATGAAAAAACTCAAATTAATAGAACGTAAGTACTTGGGTAAAGCACTGATTAAACAAAAAAATGCAAGTTTGTTTGTTACCATCACTGGTGAGTTTATCCAAAATGTAGTAAAACATATCTTAAGATTTTATTATAAACTTTTTCTCAATTAGAAGATTATATTGTATTCAATTTAAACCAGACAACAATGTATTACATTGTTGTATAAAATAAATGTTTTCATACTTTTATTTAAATTAAAATCAATTTAAAAATAAATTTCTTTGTTTTGTCCAATAAATGACTTGCTTACTTTGACATAAATGGTTTTAAGTCAAAGTATATACATTCAAGTGAATTTAAGGAAAGTGTGCTTCTTTGTAGAATATTGTTAGTACTATTAAATTATTATATTAGTCAAGAGTTTAAAGTTAATTATTCTATTACTTAAGCAAGCCGTTAAGTAAATTGAACTATAAGATTTTATAACATGAACTATTATACAAAATGCAATATAAATGTGTTTTTTAATGGTATTTTGGAATGTATAGGTTAATTAAATCATATAATATAAATAATAAAAAATTGTTTTTGAGTGTCAAATATTAACTGTGGTGTTTAATATTAAAACATCAGATAATAATTTAACAATATTGTATTTTATATTAAAAAAATAAATAAGATATTGAAAGTTTTATACTTTATTGTTATATTTATTGAAAAATGTTTTACATTGATTAACAAAAAAGTAATTTTTGAAGACAAGTTGTTAAAAATAAATAAAAAAAAAGTAGTGTTTTAAGTTTTATATAGGGAACATCTAAATAGACACCCACCTTTTGTTGCATGGACAACTCTGTGCTATGCATCCTTGCATATGTACCTTTACAAAACTTACCTAATTTTGATTTTTGATGGTATTCATTTTCTTTTCTTTTCTTTTCTTTGGCAATGATAAATAGTAATAGAAATAATACACAATCATTTGTGTTTTGATTATTTAAAAACTTAATTTGATAAAGGTTTGCAATGACAAAAGAGTTGAGGGCTAGGATAATGTGGATCCATAGAATACACATAACAAGGGTATATCAAATTCTAGTATTAAAATAATAAACATAACAAGAGTTATGATGTAAGAATCAAAACTAGTTATTTATTTGTAGGGATTGGTATGCAAGGGTGCATAACATGGGGGGTGTCAATGTAGTAAAAGGGAGGTATTCACCGAGCAATTCTCTTCATTTATTGGAATTCTTTCAAGTTTCAAAATTTTGCATGTGTATATCCACAGACAAAATATAAGATACATTTTAAAATTGATTTATAAATGAGATTAAAGTGGATTTTTACATGTGGAGTAGAATGATAATAATAAATTAAAAAAAAAAAAAAAACATTGAAAGTCTTTAGTTTAAAAAAACTATTTGTAATTTTTATTGTTATCTTCTAATTTGAATGACTAAAACCACCAAAATTCATTATTACAAATACTTCCTCAATCCAAAATATTTTACTTTCTCCTATATCACTATTTATGTTTAGTTGTTTTAAAATAAGTTACTTACAAGACTTAAATGTTTACTCCGTTTTAATACATTCTTATTTTAATTTTGTATATAAGTATTTCAAGAGCATATTTTAACCTTTTAATCAAATCTAATACATAGTTTATCCTTTTCTTTTCTTTTGTTCTTACTTATTTATAGTTAAGGTGTTTATTACATGTTGGATTTTGATACATTTAAAGATTTACATATAAATATATATAAACACAGAGGAAGACAAAGAGTGCAATGACAATACTTGTAAATTCTTAAACGACAAAAACATCAGTCTATATTTCTCATGTTATTATAGGTGGCACAAGTGTGTTTTATAGTTCAGATACCACCAAAACATAAACAAATCCATTCTTATGCAATATCATGTCAAATTTGTACACATATTGTTTTTCCTGTAGAACTCCAACATCCCAAAACACCCCACAAAAGTTTCTTTGTATAAAAATATTTACATATTTGCACACGCAACACATCATCATTGTATAAATTCATAAATATACTCACATGTGTATATATATTTCAACAAAATTATTTTTGCATCAACATCGAAATTTGATAGCAATAGCCAATCACTTCAATACTTTCAGATGTTGAAGATTATGATTTTAAAATTTCGTTCATTAGGATCAGCACATTTCAGTTGATCTCTTGAAAAAGCAACAATTTGAGGGGTTTACAATGATAGTGAAGATAAGACCCCTTTGGCCAAAGTTTCCGTAGCTAAAAATATCACTTTCAAAATTACATTATATTATTAAATTTTCATACGTGGCTGTTAGTTTAACCATCAATCAGAACTTGTGGATAAATAGAATGTTTTGTTCTTGTTCGTGTTTGCAGCAAATAGAATGAAGGCAATGTAATGGGGTTGGAGGAATATTCGTCGTTGGCTAATTTATTTCGTCTTTTCAAAAGGTCATTAATAATTTGTCATCAGGTGTTCGGTATATGACAAAACATGAAACATCCGCAAATTGGCAATTTAAGTCTAAAGTACTATCATGGTTTTTGGTTTTTACTAAAAATGGCCAATCAGAATAATCATGTGTTAAGCACAAACAAAGCATCACAAAGCATTGATATTCCTCTGGAATAATACGTAATAGTGAAACCTCAATTACATGTCGAAATACCAGTTCAAAAATGTTATTACAGCCTCGTGTCTTTTCACCAAACCAACAACAATACAAAAAACCTAAGAAAAGAAGAAAGTTTATATATGTATGTATGCATGTATGTGGTTTGATACAATTTTAATTCTGTTGTACATTTCCATTCATCTACTCTGTTTTTATTTTTTATTTTATTCTATTCATTTGTTGAGATGGTTCTTTGCACTTGCACGTTGTATGATGCAAACTTTCATTTTTATTTTTATTTTTATTTTTGTGTTTTTCATTTTTAAAGATATGTTAATGTATCTTTGTGTGGATTTGTCTGATGGAAGGGGGGTACATGTTAGTGTCTCAAGACTGATTGGATTTCAAACAATGACTACTTTATCGTCATGGTTGAACTTCAACTTTTGTTATGTTTAGAAATATGTCGAGAATGCTAACGTTTGAACTTTTTTCGGTGATCTTCATTTTCACGTTCATTGCATGTTCTTATTTTGTAATCTGTTCTTTACTATCACTAACTTTTTGAACATCTGATTTGATCATTGGGGTAGTATTGAATGTAGAACTATACACAAATGCGTACACGTTTGGTTTTAAAGTTGGGTTTGAAATTTCACTCTGTATTTGAAAATCGTTTAGTTTTTTCCACGTTGCTGCAAAATCCTCAAGTTGCGACAGAAGGCTAGCTTTTATCTGTGAGGTGATTGATCCAAAAATATAAATAATAAAAAAAATCCATGTTATTTTCGATTGTATACTTTTCCTTACCTACATATTCAAGCGTCTTGATTTACAGAAGAGAAAAAGAAAAATAAACGAGGAAAGAACTGTAGAATAGATGAGGTCACAGATAGGGTTGAAATTCAAAAGTAGTTAATGATATGCTCTACGACATACATTTCCGTCAATGAAATTGCACCTTCAATCAGTTTCAAAACACATATCACTATATATATACATACATACATACATACACACACATGTTGCAACAACAACAACAAACGACATTTGGGGAGCCATTCCCGAGGCCACGACGAAGTCCACTCGCACCTCCGCTTGGAGGAAGGATGTTCAAGAGTTTTGAATAATTCCTGCGCCGGGACTCTTTGTGTGCAGCACATATGTGCCCTGGAAGCTCCAAGTTCCGAGAGGAAGAAAGTGAGAGAGAGGGGAACAGAAACAGATATAGAAAAGACAAGACCACAAATAAGAAAAGCGACGTCAGAGTGAGGAAGCGACGAAAATGGGAGCGAGAAAGACGTCGGGTACAGACCCACTCTCCCCCCACACCGCGCATGCCTTGCCCCCAGAATTAGCAATTCAGCGACGCATAATGCTTGCGTATGTGACGTTTGAATCCAGAGAGATTCAAACACCACTGGGAGGAGTGAGATTCGCCGCTCGACTTTGATGATAGATGGAAAGAGTCGACCATGTGTGTCTGTAGCTAGCTTGCTTCCTTGGCTTCTACGTGTGGCCATCCTTCCAGAAAGGCAATTTTCCCACCCTCTGCGGTGAAATCGGGTGCATGTGCTATGTTTAGAAACGATCCATTGCGTCCGCCGGTAACGAACTCGCAAGAGGTAAAAGCATCTTTTTGGTTAATTGTGGGTCACCACTGGGAGAGATAGAGCTCCCGTCCCCATTGGCGTTGCCCTCCCAGCCTAAGATCAGTCCCCTACCCCACGACGTGCGAGCAACGTGCGAAACGCAAGGCGATGGATGGGTCGTCCGTTGTTTTGTAACGTTTGCGTTATGGTCATTCTGCCACAGGGACGCGAAGGAGCTGGTCCCTGGTCGCTGGTTCTTCTGAGAGGAGCGAGTTCATGTTCCTCGTAACGCATCGCAGGAGACGCATCGCGATGCGAGTTCAGCCATGCTGCTCGAGCTCAGGGGGACGCCAGCAGTGAGAGAGCCGACTCCCCACCACCTCCGCGTCGTCACTTTACACAGCTTTAAGTCCTGCGCGCGGGATTTAGTCAAGGAATCCGCCTGCACTTTTCGAAGCCGGATCGATAGTCTCGATTTGCAACGCACAGCAGCACAGCAGCAGCACAACGCACAGCACAACGCACAGCAGCAGCACGCGAAGAAAACGTGAGCTCGGGGCATCGACGACACGATAGATGCCGCGCCTGATCCTATAAGTTATAAACTTTTGAACTCACTATTTTTTTCAATTATAAGATCAGTTGTAACTAATCTTTCTAATTTATGATACATAAAATTGACATGGCTATATATAAAAGTAAACATGTGCACACTTTTTTGCATGCCAATTGATGTATTATAAATTAGAAACAATTTGAACTAATCATGATTACATTCATTTTTTATAAAGATTTCAATTTAATTAAATATTATGTTAAACTTATAGATAGAAATTAAATGTTATTAATTTATTAATTTTCACACCTATCATATAATCAATAGAATTGCTACTAACATTTTAGTTTTTAATATATATATATATATATATTATAGACATATCTCTTACATAAAACAATTTTGAAGATAAACAAGAGGAGACAAAAACTATCTCTAATTGGTTGCATATTTAATTGTTTTCATCAAAAGTGAAATAAAATTAAAGCAATAACTCAACTTTTGATCAATGAAATATCAAAATCTGCATGTTGTTGGTGCAAATTGCTGAGAGTAGCCCTACCAGATCACTAAATGTGGAGCTCAGAAGCTCCCAATTGAGGCTACTACTATTTCATTATAATTATAATACTATTTTATATTATAACATAAGTATTAATTATGCAAAAACAATTTGGCCAATTGCACCGGTTTTGACCAGTATATATATAAATATTCACAGAGAGAAGGATCTTTTCTTTTTTTCCCCAACTTTGACCAGTTCCCAAACCAACCATGAAACATTAATAACTGGAGACCAAATAAGAAATCCTACCAGGAAGGGAACACCACGCAATGTGTGAATGAGAGCGTGTGCACGGAGTGCCCATTCACTCACTCGCGACGGTGCCAAAGCGGCGTCCGCGGCGTCGTCAGCAGTCGCGGTGCGCCTGGCATCTTTTTCCGTTGTGCTAGATCGATCCGTTTCAGCGATGAGGGACGACCAGCGTTGTTGTATTTGTTTTTGTGATTATTGTTATTGTTTATTGGTGTCTGTGACCATGCGTACTGAGAGATTCGGAAAAAGGCGACTCGGTGTGAACACTAATTCCGCGGCGTGGCATGGCAAGCCCGCCACCGCTCTGACAAACTCATAGGAACGGGAAAGGTTAGCATCGGAGGTGGGTCGAAGGTGGCAGCAATGCGGCGCAACCATGTCATTGACTTTTATCCAACTCGCTGTGGCTGCGGTGACGACTCTAGCCGTGACGAGTCGGGCCGGGTGGTGCCAATGCAACGCCCATGATTCTTTAGCCGAGGATGTCCTCATGGGCGGGCTTGGCGCCCCTGGGGGGCTAGAGCCAGTCTTCGGACTCAGATTTGACGCGCCACACTCACAGCTGGCGGTACTGTTTATGCGGGATTGGCGGGGCCATTTCCACCTGGTTGGGTGCCTGCTGGTGTGCGTCGTGGTTGGATTCGCGGCCGTGAGGGAGTGCGGAACTCATCACTCGTGCAGGTAGCTCGAATTTCGGTGAATGCTTCGTGAAGGAGGACGGTTCAGCGGGCGGGATGTAGCGATTCAGAGATGGTCTGGAACCCATGGGCCTGTGGGCATTCTGGAATTCGCGCTTGGTGATCGGTAGAGTATGGGAGGTCGGAGTTCATCGTAGCTTTTGAGTGATGCCTGTTGTGAGGATGCTCCCGTGTTGAGAAGGTGCACCCTTGCCGACACAATGCCGGTAGCTTTACTTGTTCTCGGGGTAGCGAAACGCTAATATGGTGCTTGTTTTGACGAATCGAGCTCGGGGCCATTGAAGTTGATGCCGGAATTCTTCCGTATCTGCAGTCGAGGTAGTGAGAATAGGTAGCCGGAAACATGTTCCAAACGTTTGCAACAGTTTGGGTAGGCGGATTCATTGAATTGTATAGTGTACAGTTGAGTTGGATTTGAAGAACGTTTGCAGTTTCTGAAAAATATGGTGCATGATTGCAATGGAGATCTCTAGTGCTATGGTGACCCCCACGTGTGAATAGTCCGAGTATTTCTTTTCGCTTCATCGATAATTGTGTCCGTTTCCAGTGTCGGAACTACCTCAGAGTTTCCTTGCGGTTCGCTGCCCGATGAAATTACATCATTCGATGTGGATTGCATCCTCGTACTCTCGGAGGCGTCTGAAAGTGTGGCATTGAAGCAGTACCTTCAAGCATTCTTCTAGAAAGTGGAGTTTGTATTGCTACCTGAAAAGACGCGTGAAGGTGAATGTAAGGTGCGCATGTTTCCGTCAACTGTAGTTTCTGTCACCTTAGAATACACGTCGTGTGCGATGTATCGGAGAGCCATTATTCATTGCAAACAGTCTGGATGCTTCGCGACTCTTTCACCCGACTGCTAACTGGTCTCTCCATGAGGCTGATTTATGGCATCGGGGATTACTTTTAGGTTTTTGATAAGATTTGTCCGGTGTGGATACAGGGCACTGTGTCTCTACTTGTGTTCAGTTCTAGCTTTCATGTACTTGAAGACGTTGAATCTCTCACTCTAGGATGTGGAGTAGGTTCTTCTGCATTTGCGTTGTTGTAGATTGGCTGATGTTATAATTTCTTTTCCATCGTAATTTTACACATTGTGTTCGTGACAACGTTAACATTATTCAATTTTATTAAATTTGCGGTTTCGTCTAGAGAAATTTGGTGTCGTAGCTGCTTTTCGAAACCTGTAGTGCGGTGTTTGAGTGGGTGACTATGAACTGCAGGCATCACCGGCCCTCGGGTCTTTGCCCATTTTTTGACAAAAAAAGGACTACTCAAATGTGATAATGAACTACAGCTTAGGGTAGCCAATAGCGTAACTTTGCGTTAAGTGAGAAAGAAGCTGCTCAACTAGTATCTTGTTTAGCCTCGATTGCCTGTCAGTGTTGAACTGTTATGATCGGGTGAAGCGAAACCGAACACCGCAGTGGATCTCAGTCGGTCATGGGATTGTGCTGAAATTTCCAACATCCTTGTAACTAGAGCCGAGGGGATTCTGCTTGCAGATCATGTTTATAGTCGAAACTATGAAGACACTTTTTGTTGCAAGATCATCCTTAGGCACTAGGAGGATGAATTTATAACAACGCTGGTCGATCGACCATCACCGTAGGAGCGTTACCTCTGTCATACCTTTGTAATGAAGCTTCTTTCTCACTTAACGCAACGTCATGAGAAGGTACAAGCAGGCAGTTGTTTATGTTGTTGAATCGGTTTCTCACATTTCAAGTTCAAAAGGACTAGTAAAGGTATATGGTCGGTAGTATTATTCTCGATTGTTCAATGCAATACTATCTGCAACAAGAATGGGGAAGACGTGGCTGGTCATGGTGCAGATCCTCAAGAGATCCCCTCAATAATTCAACACTGCATTTACTTCTCTCTGTGCTTACACATGGCCGTTGGGGATGAACTGCAGATTTTTGTAAAATAGCAAGAACGTATCAGCTGGAATGAGTACAGAGGAATAAGATATGGCTAGTTGTTGGAGTGATAGCCGGTTACACAAGGGTGTGAAGTCACATCTCGGTGTGATGGACACGGATGAAGTGTGGAAAATGAAACAACGTGAAGGAATGGGCAGGAAACCGGTTCGCAAATCAAACAAAGACGACTATTCCAAAGCCAAGGGTATTGCTTCTTTGACCGGAAGATCGTATCCAGTAAACCTGATGTCGGTAGTGAGCCGAGGAGCTTCTGGTAACGAGGAAAAAGCTTATGAATCTATGCAGTTTCAGCTGGACTTTAAAGCAAGTTTGATGGGAGTCCATATATATGACGAAGAAGGTGAGTTTTTTAGTAGACAGTCGTCTATGTCATCTCTGATATCAGAGAAAATCCGATCAGGAATGGCCTGCATATCTTGTGGAAGCGAAGGGCAGCAAGGACATTTGATTGATCCACGTGGTAATAAACGTGGAGTGACAATTGTTGCCACATCTATCATGTCTCATGCTGGTGTAAGAGAGCAGAGTGGCAAACCTCTAGGTGATAATGGCAGTCGTCGGGACGTGAAAGGGACCGCATCGCGTCCGGAGAAATCGAAAGCTGCGAGTGGTACGATATATCCCTCTCCACAAATTGGAAGCGATACCAACAGCAGCATTCTCAATCCGAAACATTTAAATACTGCTGATGCAAGAGCAACTGGGAAAAGGCGCCCAGGTGACAGAACTCTTGGGCAGCTATTAGGTAAATCAAGCTTTGATGGAGGGGTAGAGGCGGCGCAAATATGTTCCCGCTACCACCAACGAACTCAAAGCAGTGCTGATATTGCAGCTAAGAATGACAAATGTTCTCCGGGAAGCTGGGTTGATTCTCGTGCTAGTTGCCCTGCAGCTCTGACGTTTTCGGAGAGGTTGTTTGGATACGAATTTTCAAGAAACCTTTCGAAGAGACTAAACCTGCCTACTGAACAGTGTGCCCCATCTACTCAAGTGGGAGCCAATGAATGGCAGGATAGTAGCCACCTGGGCCGTTGCTCCATATCGGTCCATGGGATGTCTGATTATGATGATACTGACGAGGATGATATTATCATTGAAGATGATACTATTTTTCAAATATCTAACAAACTGGCATTACCTTGTTCCCGAGAACGACAGCATGGTGAAATTGCTACATCTGAAGCAAAACCAAGACCATCAGTTGAGCGTTGGTCCTCAAACAGGAAGTCATATAACTTGGATTTGAAGCAGTTGCCAGTTAAGATTTTGTCCATTGACATAAATGGAAGCAGATATCACCGTTCTGCTGATCCAGGATGTTCGAGTTTTAGAGCCAAAGTTGATGTGTCTGAACGTGACATTCCCCAGTCTAGTCTGACTTGTGGCGGTGATGTAGAGCCCAGGCGAGCAAAGATAGCGGGGGACGACCCACTCACATCAGACAGCAGGTGGTTGGAATTCGAATCGGAAATGAACGACTTTGTGTTGAATTCTGGACGCTTGAAGTCGGATAAGACACATGAACCAGATCTTGAGAAGCCCGCTTTAGAACAAGTGAAGGATGGACTCGAAAAACTTAAGAAAGATCGGACGAAAATGGACGAAGAAAACTTCCCCTTCAATACTCCGGTTGCCTCTTCTTTTCTCTTTGGAAATGGCGGAACGAAACCCCCTCAAGACGCACACAAGCAGTTCCAAGCCACCAGCCTCTCAACGATGCCCAATCCTCTAGTCCAAGAGACAGAGTTCGACACGGAGGACTTAGACCACAGCGATGCGTATCACGATCCCGATGATTGCGATGACGATGGTGGCTTCATTTCAGACACCGATTCTTCACTCACCACCTTCTCATTAGGAGCAGAAGCAGATAGTTATGGCGGTCTGCTGGACCAGCCACCCCAATATGCTTTATCCCGAAGCTTTAACTGCGTTAGAGATGTAGTCGATCACAACTTTGGGTACCTGGATATAGAATCGCTATCTGGAAGGTTTAGCGTTGATGTACGAAGAGACAAGAGGTTAGGCAAGGGAGATCTAACTGCCAGACAAGGTATTAGATTAGGCATGATGAAAGCGCAGAAGCCATCGTCCAGACGATCCCTGTCACCTTGCTTGGTTTGTCTCTCTTGTTGGCACCAACGCCCTCAGGATGCTTGACCTTGCTCTCTTTCTACCTTCATCTGGGACCAGATCCCGACGCCGTTTATTCATGCTCCTACAACCATCTATGCTCCCCTCGCGTTTCTCATTGTTTTCGATCGTCGTCGTCTTTCACGCTCGCACTAGTACACATCCTCGATCATGTGGGTTCAGCACCTGACCTTAGAAACAAACGGGGGCAAAACGCCGCTCTCCCCACAGATTTCCGGTGAGCTGTGGTGTTCCTCCTCTTGAAGTTTTATGTGAAGCCTAGCACCAGTAGTAGCATCGTTTTGGAAAGGTTGAAGCGCAGTGCCGAGTGCCCACCTAGTCATGATCTCCTAGCTCCGAAGCATGAACCTCAGCGGGAGCATGAGCTTGCGGATCTTTTCCGACAGATCATCGTCTTCTCTGGTTTCCTTATGCGCTGTCTATTTGTGAATGTAAACCTATCTTAATTGCTATGGAAATCTCTGACATGTTACACACTATAAGAAGGATTTCGTATAAAAGAGAGACAAAACAATGAAGTGATGAGGAACGATAGAATATAGAAAGGAGTCAAAAACTGGTGTCTTGTTGGATTTGTACACACTCGTGTAGTAACTATGGATTACAGGAGATGTCTCTATTGTAGAATTGCTTCTTTGTTAATTTGAGGTACAATCTCTCATTGAAAGTAATTCAAGCATATGCACAATGTATAATAGTAACATTACGTAGTAGTATTAAGTTGAAAAACAAAGCAAAAATTTCATTGTAGGACTCTTGCATCTCAGTGATTAATAGATATTATTGTTTTTAAACACATGTTTGAATTAGATTTTTCTTTTTATTTTTTAAACTAATTTTTAAAATCTTTAAAGTATTACAATTTAATTTCTTTTTCTTGTTGTGGCAATTATTTACAAAATCCACAACAAACATGAAACACAAGAATAAGTTAGTACAAATATATTTTATTTACATTGTTACAAGATTTAAATTAATTTTAAAAATAAAATTTAATAGCTATTTGTAGTAATAAAAAATATCTAAATACTTAATTATAATGCTTAAATTAATTAGCAACAACTTTATTATTATATTGGATCCATTTCTTTAAGAGTTTGATCCTTGTAGAATGTTGATTATTGTTATATATTGACATATTATAAATGTAATTAGTAGTATATTTTGTTTTAAATGTAGTTAATCAATAAAAAATTTTAAAAAATATATTTTGTGTAATTTTTTTTGTTATCAACTTTTTATTTGAAGATCAATTAATGAATTAAAAAATAATAATCTTAAATAATTTTTCTAGTAAAATGTATTGTTTGAAGATTGACAACTCATTGACTTATTTGAATTAACAACAAGCAATTTTGAGTCAAAATTCCATCCAAAAAATAAAAAAATATTAATATATAACATGGTTGTTTTGATATAGGATTTATACTAATTATGTTATATTTTATTCTCATAGAAATTAATTTATTAAAAAATAATAATGATACTATATTCTATAGTAGATATTTTAAACCTAAATGTAACTTGCATTTCTAAATTCTATTACATAACTATAATACATTCTTATATTTAAAAGATAAATTTTCTATTCTTAAAAATTCACTATTTTAATTGTGGAATTTTTTTGTAGACAATTAGTTGGTTCTTAGATGTTTTAAGGGTTAGGATTTATTATGTTGTAAACATAAAAATAAAAACTTGTAAATTTATTTAAATGTAATTATTTTAAAAAAATAGTAATAAAAATCAAATAATTCGAGTAATTATTACCAACTCTGGAATGTATATTAAATATTTAATAGGCATTATTAAATATCTATTCAATAGTTATATCTATTCAATAGTTAAAAATATTTAATAGGCATTACAATATTTGTGAAATGCCTATTAAATATTTTTTGTATTCTTCAAAGTAATATGTCATAAATATTTTGTATTAAAATCATATATTTTTAGCATATACTTGAGCAAAAAAATATAGATTATCTAATGGATTCGGACTTATAAAATCTACAAATAAAAAATATTACAACAGAAACATTTTTTGTAAATCTTATGAAGAAAAAATTTAACAATGTTGTGTTGTATAAAAACTAGCCAAAAACTTCATTGAGAATCTAGTCGTGGAAGATAAATTGTATTTGAATCAAATAAAGAATCTAAAAATCATAATAAAATTTTAAACAAACCTTAATTTAACCTTAATAATTATAGTCAAACCTCAATCAAATTATAAAGAATCTTAATATAATAATAAAAAGAATCATTATATAATTCATTAAAAAAAACATCAAAGAAATCATAAGTAATATTAAAAAGAATCCTAAAGTAATGCTAAAGAATTCATAAAGAAGTTATATAGAAATCTTTTAAAAAAATAAAGAAAGCTTACAAATTTCCTGCAAAAATTGTAAAGGATCCTTAAAAAAAATATTATAAAATAAATCATTATATATATATATATATATATATATATATATATATAGTCTAAAAAAGTTATATAAATTCTAAAAAAATAAAATTCTAAAGAAGTTATAAAGAAATTCTAAAGAAACTCTAATTAAACCTTAAACAAATCTAACTAAATCCTAAATAAACTTTTAAAAATTTAATAAATCCCTAAAAAAATCCTAACAAATTCTAAATAAATTTTAATAAAATTCTAAAATATTCTAGTGAAATATTAATGAAATCCAAATCAAAATATAACCAACTTTAACCTATCCTAAGGTAGGCTTAAAACCTCAATAACTATTTATCAAACCATTGATTTTTCTTAAATATTTTGCAAACATTACTATGTAATAATTAACAACAAGCATAACAATTAAAAGAAGAATCCAACTTACCAATTGGAAGAAAAAGCTCCTTAATTGCTTGGATGTTAGCTATCTTCTTTCTCAAACCTTCATGTTCAACTTCAACAACAATAAGTCTTTATTGAACTATTCATTTGCACAAAAATTTAGAAATTTTTTTAAAAAAATAATTCACAACCCTCTCATAAAAATTTGTGTTAAGCCAACCAAAATATGACTCAAAATCAAAGAAACCTTTTCAATCCAAATCTAAATTCCAAGATTCTAATCCGATTGGATTTTAATAACCTTATATCTAAATGTTAGATTGAGTTCAAATTCACAAAAAATTAAAAAAAATAGGTGTACAAGTCTACAAATTTTCACCTGTTAATATGCTAGAATGCTAATAGAATTTAAAAACATATAAACTCTCTTTTATTTCTCAAAAACTCAAACCACTTAAAACACCTTTCACTTTGAAAAGCTCTCAAAATTTTAATATTAGCCTACATCACTCAAAATCAACATACAATCAAATCCTATTATGTTTTTTTTCTCTAATCTTGCTCTCCAATCAACAAAAGAACTTTGGATTTGTCATAAGAGTATGGTTTTGTACCTTAGAGCCTGATTTTGATCTAAGATTATAATTGGTCCTCTCTAAGTATTAATGTCTAGTTATTCTAAGTAAATTTTATCAAAATGTACTATTTATTTCTATCTTAAGATGCCTATTATGCTAATTTTGATAATCTACCTTGTTATATCTTGCTTATAGCTTTAGAAGGAAAGTAGAAGCCTATTTTATAAAAATACACCATTTGTACTTATTAATTTTACTACTCCTTTGACTATTATTTATATTTCCAAGGTAAATTGCTATTATGTTTTGAAATAAGATCTTCTATAATATAATTTTTTCTTCTCTCTTTTATCCAATAGGCATGTTTCAATACAACAACAAGTAACATGATTATTGCTTTACATATTATCATTTTGGATTAAAATCTTTATTTTTGATATTAATGGTAATTTTAAAGAACATATAGACATCTTAGTACATTGTGACTAATAACAATTAATATCTTCAATTTTTTAAAATTTAACATTTGTATAAGTTTTATACTTCTATAAAAATATTTTTTATATTAAAAAATATTAACAATTTATTAGTACTATATAATATATATATGCATATATAGAACATTGTGAGAATATTAAAGAATAAATAAAATTTTAATTTTAAGTGTCTTAAACTTATAGCTTATAGGCATGATATACAAAGACTAAGTAATAATTACAAATTTTAATTTGCTTTACTACAAGATAGTTTGTATATTTTGAACTAATGCAAATTATTGAAGAATGAGAGTGTTTATTGGTGATTTTTTTTATTGTATAATATTCCTTCCACTTTTAAAAACTCTTATTATTATATAGATTATTGAAGACTGATCTCTAGATTGAATTATGGGATTAAAGAAATTTTAAGAAATAAATCAGATGGTACAGATTAGAGAGGTTGTAGAGCTTGTATAGTTTTAAATATGGCTTTTGTTAGATTTTAATGATACTATTAATAGAACAGATAATACTTATACCTTTTGTTTTTAGTATTCCAAGTTAAGGATTAAGTTGTTCTTTAAACTTTTAAAATGAAGTCTACTAATATTGGTTATTCCCTTTATACATCTTTTTACAAGAACACCTTCATTGCAATAAGTGAAATACATATAAAAGTTGTAGTAGTGCCTATTCAATAGCATATATCATGGATAGTGTTATAACATGATTTATACATTGTTGTTACATTGATGGATATGTTTGGAGATTGTTTTCAATTGTAACAACTGCAAAATTGTTGTTACATTGATGGATATGTTTGGAGATTGTTTTCAATTGTAACAACTGCAAAATTGTTGTTACATTGATGGATATGTTTGGAGATTGTTTTCAATTGTAACAACTGCAAAATTGTTGTTACATTGATGGATATGTTTGGAGATTGTTTTCAATTGTAACAACTGCAAAATTGTTGTTACATTGATGGATATGTTTGGAGATTGTTTTCAATTGTAACAACTGCAAAATATCAAAATGGAGGTTCATTAAGTATTTACCATCAGATGTTAATTTATTAAATCATTCAAAATTTATTCTAACATGTAAGTATAATTTTTTTATAACACATCAAAATAAACATTTGAATTATTAGATAAATGGTGAAAAATTATAAATACTCTTATATATTTAGCTGATAAGTAAATGTTATTAATTAGAAATAAACATGTTACAAAAAACACATTGGTAATCTATCAACATACTACTATGTAGTTATGTTTTTATTCTTTAATTTTTTTTCATGCAATCTTTGATCTATGTGTATAAATTTTAAATGCCAAATAAAATTTTAAATAAACTTTTTGAAGTTTTATAAGTCAATAAATGTTTAGATAAAGATGTCACAGATGATGAATTATTCATCACAAACTTACATATTTACATGTAACATTTAAAGACAAAGTTGAGTGAAATCAACTAAAAAATACAAATATCAATCTAGCAATCAACTGTTTTAACTATCCTCATATTTACAACATGTTCATGTAAATTTCGTTATTCATTTAACGAATTCAAAAACTATATTTGCAAGTAACTCAATCAAGGTTTTTGATGGTAATTGGATTATTAATTTCTTAAAATAAATTTCGAAGTAAAATCTAAATGATCATACAATCTTTTAGAATTGATGTTGTTATGTGCTTCTGTCTTTTGCAATGAAGTAAATACCCCCCCACACACACACACACACACACAATTAGTTGCACAATTATCACTAATCCCCATAAATGCCGGTTCTTAATTATTATTAAGTGTCCATGCCATGACCATCGTTTGTGTAGGAGTTCAATTAAGAGTTGCTCCAATGGCTTTTGGCCTTTGTTAGCTGACATTGAACTGGACCCATGCTACATTTCCTGGCAAATCCCCAAAAGACAGTTGATCATTTTCTATACCTGTACTCACCCATTTATTAACTGGGGATTGAGAGACATGAGATTCCAATGACAGCTCAGGGAACACGTTCTCAAAGGAATAGAACGCGAGGTAGTAGGCTTTTTATTAAGGGCCGTGTCCAGGGAACGCCACTAAACTAGGAGTATTCGAACGGCAGGGTCGGAATTCCGGACCTAGTTCACGACCTTGCCTCGGGTCCAGAATTAGAATGGGAAACGGTAGCCTCGTAGAGCCGTTGGTCCCCGACTTGGGCTGAGCCTCCCCGAGCCTCCCTTCATGTGGCCTTGCTCCGCTCCAGACCTCACTCTCATGTCTGTTTGCGTTGTCGATTTTTCTTCTACCTCCAGCCCTTTGCTTTGATTGTCGTGCCGGCTCGAGATCGAAGACACCGTTGTTGCTTCGGTTCGGTTTTTCATATCGTAGAGCTACCTCGCAGGATTTTTTTGACGAGTTTTGAGCCTTTTCGAAGGCGAGCGCATTCCGTTGAGGTCGTTGAGTCCTTCAGCACCCGAAATCGGTGTCAGAAGCTGGTTTACTTCAAATTTGTAGGCGAACGAGCAGGCGCGCCTTCGGTAGTAGAGTCTGTTTCCTTCCTTTCTTCCTTTCTTTTTTGTGCCTGGGGGGGAGCATTGTAGGGAGCAGTTTTGGTTTCGGGTAATTTTGAGGTTTGTGTTCGCTGTGCTGCGGTTGAGAGGTTTAGGAGTGAGTCAAAGAGCTAGGGTCATTTTCTCTTGGCTGAGTCGGACCTGCCTGAGCATCCCTGCGGATACACTTGGCGATTTCTTTATCGAATCTCCATGTCCGGATCTTGCGTGGATAGTTTGTGGCGTAGAAACTTTGGTTTGGAGAGAGGCAGTAGTTTTGTATGACAACGCTTAAAAATAACTAACATTATGGGAAGGTTCGAATCATTGGCGGGGCAACTGCCAAATTGATTAAACCTTCAATTGGATCCCTACCAGGCACATGTAGTTGCTATCGGGTTTTCTATCCCTTAGAGGAAATGCCAATGACTGCTTGCACACATTGGCTGGTGCTAATTCAAGAAAGTGCTCGTGTGTCTTGGTTCACCTCGGTAATGATTTCTGAATGTCGTCGTCTCCTTACCGAAAAGGTATTCAACAGAAAATAGATTCTCTAGGACAACCTCCGCTCAGTAACTCGGGTTTTCCGATCTACAGGAACTAGCACGCTTCACTCTGTCCGAGATTTGCAGCATGAACGTCGAAAATACCTCATCAATAAGAATGTCCCCCTGAACTAGCTTTGTATCCGTGTTTCTGTGACGTTAATTTTACATTCGTTCCGCTGTTAGTGGGACATATACTCTTATCGAGTTTCCGTAGAATTTCCTATTCGTTCAATGTACGTTGCGGATTTGATTGTCGCCCTTTGTTCCCTGGCCTATTCCAGTATCTAGAACCTCCCAAATTGTCACTGTAGACGTCCTGCTGGTCCACTGTACATTGACACCAGATTAAAGAGAGAATTCCTTCCACGACAGGTACTCAAAGTTTTCTATCAATGAGTGCAGGAGAAGCCTGAACTCCTTGCGCATCGTAGGAGTCAACATTTCAGTGTGTATTAATCTTATCTCATACAGTTGTTAACGTTTGAGGAAGTAATGGTTGGGGAAAGGACGGGAAGGCAGACGTTGGGAACAGCGTCGTCTCATAGGCGCCGTCTGTCCAATATTACTAACCTCATCAATGGCGGTAGCTGGTCTAACGAGAATGATCTTGTTAAAAATACTTGCGGCTCCACTGAATTGCAGCTCCAACAGGTGATTCTCTGTTTCCTCGTTTCTCGGGATTGAACATCAAGCCATTGCATGCTCCCCGTTCTGAATACATAGAATTAGTAGTGATAAAATTTATATCTTAACACATGTCGATTTTACGGGCGTGTGGTTGGAAAGGCTCACCGTGGGTCTGTCCGTGGTGCTGGAACTAATCCTGAACTCGATTGCGAGCAGGAGATCAAGAGGCTTGAGCAGATCAACATCGAGAAGGATCTAGTTATTGCGGAAAAAGAGTATCCTACCAAATCTTCTAGGCTTGTTAAACTCGTGCTATTGTCTCAATTGAAATTTACTTCGATTGAGGCACACACATTCTAATGTCGGCTGTAGTTACTTCGTAGTGGACACGTGCTAATTTTAAAGAGCAAATATAATTTGGAGTGCATAATTGATAGTTTTTAGCGTACTTCTCCAATCTCATTAGACTACTTCGTTAGTTGTTCATTACCAAACGTCTTTATATGGTTGATGCTATGCAGAAATTAATATGATGTGCTGTGTTGGAAAACTTAATCAATCTCCTCAGACACGAGATAGAATCCCAAAAGTCCTTTATGCACAAGATGCAACGAGATTTTTACGCTAATATCTACAAGCGATCTCAGCAAAATGAGGATATTATCGGTTTCAACACTCGTCTCTCCAAGGTTGGTTTCCAAACTTTGTTCTCGTAATTGTGCCTCCCGTAGCAATCACCCCCCTTATTCGCAACTGCACCGTCCAAATGGGTGTGATGTGTACTTTAGTCAGCTCCGTGTCAAATTCTATTACCTCATGACCTCTCTCGTAAGACAGACTAAGGACAAAGACAGTATGTTACATCTTCCATGACAACGCACCTTACCTATACTGGCCCTCATTGGCTCTGTGAGCTGAACCCTTCTAGTTTGGATTAAATTGCTTTTACCTCCCCTCTTACGTCTAAGTCAGAGAGAGAGAGAGAGAGAGAGAGAGAGAGAGAGGGAGAGAGGGAGAGAGGGAGAGAAGTTTTTTGGATTTAAATGACAGTAGAATTTCTCCATGTGTTTCTTTTGCTGTTTGGCTGTATGGCAGGAGCTCAGCACTGTGCGCGAGCAAGTAAGCGCCCATCCTAATCAACCATCCAATACTGTCCTGTGCTTTCATGCATTGTCTTACTGCTATATGCTCCCAGTTTACCTTCTCGACCATGTTTGATCTGGGCTTGACCTTTTACCTCGTTAACAGCTGAAAATGTTACACCATGAGTATACACAAATGACCATTGTGTACAAAGTTAATGAGAGCGAGCTGCAGGTATTGAACCGAGTGCTTCATTCACTTGCTTTCGATTCCGAGGATAATTCATTTCAAAACAATGAGACTATCCACTGTTTTGTTCTTACATCTGTAGGCTGAGTGGTTTTATTATAATGACATCAGTAGTACGAGACAACCTCAGATGCTCACTACATTATAGTCGTTATCAATTCTGAAGAGAGTGATCTTTGCCGAGTATCATGGATACTAAGCTTTTCGGCTCTCAACCAGACGAGACTTGCAGAGGCTCAAGAACAGCTGAGGCGGGTGTGCGAAGAGAAGGAGAAGGTAAATAATGTCAGAATGATCGCGGTGTTTTCTTGATTACCTAGCTTGTATCCTGAAATTTGTTTGTAATATTAGTGGTGTATGTTTCATCAGCCTCGTGAATTACAGACAAGGGACTTTACTATTAGTTTATCCGATCATCTCAAGTGACTCGACAATATGTGCCAAGCAGTACTCGAATGTTTCGATATAGAAGCTGATGAACTTTGTGTCTTCCAGGCTTCCCATGAACCGTTGAATTCCGACGGGGTGCCACCGACCGTCGTAAGGCGAACACGTAATTCCTCTGCACGAAGGCACTCAATGACATTAGGAGGTGATTGCTTTTGCTGGAGCGTCACTGATCTTCTCCCGACATTTGTGCCTTTCCGTTATGCAAGTTATTTTCGTATTTCATTCGAAAAGTTGTAATTGGTTTTTTTATATATGAACGTGATCAATCGCAGTGGGACTTGAGACAGACATCTGGAATCCATCAACAAATACACATTCTATGAGCAGCCTTGACACCTCTGCAGTTACAACAAGGTAATAGTATTTCAGAAACACATAGTGGTAATATGAGAAGCATCGCCAGTCGATTAATTGTAGTGTTCTCCTCACATCCTGTACTTTCTGTGGTGCCGATGGACTGGAAACGAGTTCTAGTGGATTCCATAATGAGTGCTAGTACCTAAACTTCCGTAGAAACATTGGATTCCATTCTTTGTAAGATTGCTAGTGTCATCTGACTGCATCTCCCGGAGAACTCTTTTCTTCCGCTGGCATGTGCTATTGATCTTGTGATAGCCTTCTCGTACTTATGTGGAACAAAGATTCACAATGTTTTACATATTTTTGCAGAGGTGGGGTGCGTCAGAAAGCGGGTACACTGCCTCAGAAAGATACCTCTGTGAAGTTAAAGATTAGGCAACACGATTGCGCGTCTGTGCCCATTATAGGTAATGTCCCATCACGCTCTAGAGTCTCCCATCTAATCTCTGTTTGTGCAATGTCTTGATCCAATGTGCATCAGGTCATGATGAATGATAATCACATCCTGACATTCTCGGAAGGGTTTTTGCGGCTCTTACGCCCTTACACTGCAGTATCTTCTAGCGCGTTATTTTTATGAGGTCATATGCGCGATAGTTGCCTTTACCAGAAGTGAAACTTCATAGCGTCCTTGAAATTGGTCTCTCAGAGGTTGCAGCCTAGCTCGCCGATACGCTGACTTAGTATTTACTTCCTCATTCGTAGAGACCAAATCTATGATGTGCTCACAGTGCCTTATTTCAATGCTCCAGTTCCTGCGTGCACAACCAAGCGGTATAACAACCGGTACGGCCATCTCTATAACTTGGAGCCAATGCAAGAAGTCGAGGAATCTGAGGCTCTATCATCGAGCAACAGTACTTCTCGTCTCCCTCGAGGCAACCCATGCTTGGAATCTTTGTCTAGCGAGGTTGTGGAGAGGGAGAGTTCTGCAAACTATGAATCTTTTAGCGAAGGTCAAAGAGCTGGCGAGATAACCTCCACCAGTGAATGTAACGAAGCCAGAGTAACTCACTCCTCTGAACCGAGACTTTCAGTTAAGGTCAGTAAGAACCATTGCGAAAAGAATCCCCCACCAGCGCGGCCCAACACTCCTCAACGAAGATCGGCTTCTCAACCTACAACCCCTCGCAACAGGAGTGAAATTCAAGTGGCATTACAGGTATGTGTGAAGACTCCAGTATTTCCAGATTATCTTAGTTAAGCCCACCACATGACAAACACTTGGTAATTTGGTACTTGGTAATGTGGTGGTTTATAATGATTGATTTGCAACGCCGCAGAGGAAAGCTTCTTCGCAACCTAGTACGCCTGGATCCACTTCCCCAGTCCAACATACGCATTCACTTCCAGCCTCGAGATCTTCCTTAAGTAGAACAAGGGGGTCGTCTCCCTCTAAACACATAGAATCAGATCAATTGCAACCTCCGTCAAGAACGTCCGTTGGGGGGCGACCTTCAAGACGAGCATCCGTTGGGGTGGTTTCGTACAAGGAGCCTTCCTTAATCACTAAGATGCGGAGACCTAACTGACCTCCAATTAGCACTCTAATTTTGAGCATTGTGTTTTGGAGATTTTTTGCAGCCAGAATTGCTGCTTGGTGGCGAAAATTGCAAACAACCCCGTTTCATGACCACGGTAATTCTCTAATCAGAGAACCGCTCTGAAACTATCAAATCGTCCTTTCTGGTGCTTGAAATATGTTTCTAGGTGTTTTCTGAATCTATCACCGCTTCGAAATTCAGTGCACTCCTTTGTTCACCAGAAGTTGCATCTGCTGAGCACTGATATTCTTCAAGCACCCTCATACCTTCAGTGATTGCTGAAAGGTCAATTGTAAATTTTTAATTCGATAACAATCTCCTCCATAGTATGTGCACATGCTATAGTAAAAGCAACTGATGGTGAAGAACACTCTGATTAGGGAGAAATGTCTACACTTATGCCAAAGTGCTCGTAGATAATACTGATTCTAATTAGCAGAGTTATGTGGCTGAGCATTCACACAGCGAAACCGTGTGATTTTCATACTTTGCTAAACGGCAACATGTGCCATTTCTGCCAGAGTGTTCAGCAGATGTAATGCACCATGTGCATGAATCTTCTGTGAATGCAAGCGAGGTGGTCTTATCTTTCATCCGCTCATTGATTGTCAGACGGCCAACCAAGCCACTCTTGTACATAGAACTTGACATCGTTTGCCACACTATCCCATCCTTCACAGAATCTCTATGAAAATATTATCCGCACGCAGACTGTCTGCAGTCTATATTTGCTAGTCTTCCACCATTTCTAGAATCACATGTGTTGATGACGAATTCCTTAATGTCGTGAGAGTTTGGAAAACAATCTACAGCGTGGTCCATTACATTTTTACGCGTATCGTCTATTACAATTCTTCTTAGTATCAGAGGTTTACTTTTTACGTTTCCAAATGCATGAGATGAGTGTAAATACCTACTGGTGAACGAATTCACTCTAAATGTTGATTTTCTCTTCCAAAATCGAGGGACATGTTGCAAGTTATCTTTGTTAATACACCAAAATAACTTAAATACACCGCGAATTTAATAGCTGCATTTTAAAAGATAACTCTAGTTGAAGCATTGCATCAACAGACTTGTACGCGTGAAAAATATCGGATATATCACCTAATATGCCGTAATTGAGTTCATTTTCTAGATCTTCTTCTGAACCATTGAAATCTTGGTGTAGAAAATATGTAGCAATTATTATTTATTTGTTTTATAGCATTTCATTGCATGCTTAATAATTTTAAAAATAAATTAAGAAGCCATGTACTTTTAAGATGGAATTAATTACATCTCTAATCCAAATGTTTCCAAAGCCTTTCCATAGATTCTTGATTGTATGCTGATTTTGTAAGACTCTGGTTGTGTAAGACAAATTTGGCTTTGAATGCAAAAAGAAATACAACCACCTTCTACTTCAGAACCACAACAACTATTGGCAAAGGAAACAAGAACATAACAATGAATTCACTCTTTCTATGGAAATTGTTATTGAAATTCAATGCCTTTAATTCTTATAAGAAAATCCCTATATAAATTGTTCTTTTTTTTAAAAGTTTTAGAAAGTTTGTATAAGAAAAGTTTTAGCCAATTAGTGGACATGAATTTTTAATATTTCAAAATAATTACATAAATTATTTAGACAAATTTGTGGTTATTATTATTTTTATGGATGGTAAACCTTCAAACCTATAATCAAAAAAATTCAACCTACCAATCACCTATAGACAAGTCTATGAATTTTCTAAGAAGCTTTTCTATAAGATATTGTCAAATTTATCTACTTTTATTTACTTCTACCTATTCATATTATCTAGGTAATTATTAAAGTAAATATGGATGTCTGTGATATAAGTTAGTCAAATCTTCTTACTCTTCTAAGCTTTAGAATAATCAAACTTAATTAGTTAAAATATCAAACAAAATAGAATATAAATATATATTTTAAATGATAAAATTCCTATTTCTTTTGCAACACAATTAAGGATATAAATAGATATAAAAATCTTAAAAGTTTATTAATAAAGATTTTTATTTTTCATCTTTGATCAATTAAATTTTAGTCCTTAATTACCTATTTTATTTTAATACATATTCTAACTAATTAATTCTATATTTTCTAAGATCAATGCCCAATGCTTATATATAATATAATTATAAGGTTATTTAGTTGTTTCTTACCTATTAGAAAAAAAAAATGCATTGTAGATAAAAATCATAAATTAATGTAGATTTAAATCTTATAATTCAATCTCTTCTATCTAATCAATATTTTCTTATACAAACTAATTTCTTGTAGAATCTTTGATTGGATTGAGAGCTTTAACAACACTAAAAATCTATAGCCAAGTTTTTTATTATATATTTTGACTAATAACATGTGATATTTGAAGCGTAAGTCTTAAAATAATTTATAAAGTTGCTAAAAAGACTTGAATACTTTAAAAGAATGTGGTTCCTAAGTTGCATATTAAATGTAGAATATTTTCATGGCAAGATCTACAAACCATAAGTATTTCTTTTTTTAAATGTGTTTTGGATCTTTAAAACTTCTACCTTAAAATATATAGAATTATTTGGTCTAATTTTTATAATTTAGAAAAAATAAAATTCTAAATAGAAAAAAGTAATTTAAAGGTGATTATTTCAATTTCTATCCAAATCACTAAGTAATTAAGTATTTTATGTCTTCAATTTTTTCTTTAAAACTACAAAAAAATAAAAAAAAAAATACAAATTTGGTTTGGTTGATCTAACATAAATCTAATAGAATAAATGATCAAAGATAAAAAAAATTAAAGAAATAATAAATAGAAACTATATACTTTGGATTTTGATGACCACAAGAAAAATTATTTATATTTTTAAGGAATTTTGAACCACACATAAGATTTTAAAAATATGGCATTAATCACTTGTATTGAATATGTATGCAATTTTCAAAACTTCTTTCTAAAGTTTCAAATAAATTCTTAGTTTCTCAATAGATATATATATTTTTTAACTTTGATTACATACACTATGTAGATATATCCAAATAAACAAATGATGGATGTTATTTCATAAAGAGATAGCATTTTAAGAAAACTTAAGGTTTCAAAGTGATAATTATCAAAATATGTTTTACCTATACAAAATTTTATCAGCTTAGATAACAATAATATAGAAGTGTTAAAAGTATTAGAAATAAATATATATACAATAGAAGTTTAAAAAACATAATTTCTTTATAAAGTGACCAAATCTTTTATAGAGTTTGATTCTACTTATTAATAATTATTTTTTTATCAAATTTATATATATATAAAAAAACAAATAAAGAATAAGGTTTCATAAAAAGAAGAATTGTAGTAAAACAATAGTCAATTAGACTTATTATAATAAATATCATATTAAACTTATCTTTAAATCTATTTAAAATTATAATAATTTTAAAAAAGATCATGCTTGAATTGAGAGCAATCTTATACATCATCTATTATTGGATAAATAGTTATATATATATATATATATATATATATAATAATTGATATTTTAATAAATAAATAAATATAAATGATATTTTATATTTTAATAAATATATATTTATATATTATACTTATCTTTTTTATCACACTTATTGTAAAGAATAATGATTTTCTAAATAAAATGTGTTTGGTCTAAAAAGTTATACATGTAAAACTTTTATATCCAATTATGTATAATATTCAAGTATGAGTGTAATAAGAAATATCTTATTTTATCATTCTTCTAAAATTAGATAATAAAATATTAATAAGTTATTCAAATCTTCAAAAATATAATTTTTTAAAGATAAAATATCATATATATCCTTAAAACATGTTGAAATATAAAAAATATTCTTATATTCTTAATAATTGCAAAGCTATTCTTCACTTTTGTATTAATTACAAATATGCCATTGAACTTGATAAGGTTAAACATAGTCTTGTTTTAGATGAATATGGAGCCTAAATTTCATACCACATATTTTGGCGCAACACTTTTTGGTACAATTCAAGCACCTCACAAATTGGACACCATTATTATCATCATTGGTACCACTACTGTTACAAATTTATTCTTGATTGATTACAAAGCTATTTTTCTTAAAAGTGTTACTTCAAGTCCAAAGCAACCAAGCTCTTTGCATCTTTTCACTCTTTTTTCCTAAAATCTTGGACTCAATTTGTAAAAATGGAGTGTCTTGCACATTACAAAATTCATCAATAGTAAATAAGTATTCTTTGATATTTTAAAGATATTTTGGTATGAAGGTTTGAAGTTTGTATTTGGTATCAAATTGAAATTGTTGATATCAAATCCACACCTTGACAATGATTTATTTATAAGAATAATGATGTCTGATAGAAAGACTTTGTTTTCACCAAAGTAAAATATAGTATGATTCAAGAGTAAATATTGATTATATATATATATATATATATATATATATATATATTTCTTCACCTTCGCTGCTATTGCTACATATCATGAGTAGCATTACTTCAAAGCATCATTTTTCTCTGGAATTTATTAGAATGGAATTCCAAAGCAAAAATTTGTATAATATATACATGTATATATATTCTACTTTTAACCAACTATTATTTATAATAATTTTGTTATTTCTATATGTACTTATATTATCTTATGTAGATATTAATAAATTTAATATACTATATTTTTTTACTATAATTATAAATAATATTACTTCAATCAAAATATACAAAGATTTGTTAGTGAATCATAGACATATTATCATTGAGATTGTGACTTTAAATATTTGTTGCAATATGCATATTTGATACTATGTTGCCAAATCCAAAGCTCATGCAAAATTATATAGCAAACATCCCACAATTTTAGAAGATCATTCTATTCTATGTATTTATTGGCTTAGTGGCTAAGGTACTATTTTTTTAATATTCATTGATTAAAATATGATTCAAAAGAGTCTTCAAGTTAAAAGACTCTTTGGTGCCAAGAATTTCTAAGAATTCTTTTTAGTTAAAAACATCATGAAATAAAAGATCATAGATAATGGAGTTTGCGATTAGGATAGGCATCCAACTTCCATCATTCAACAAGGAAGAACTTATTTTGTACCATCTTCAAACGAGCACAAGTACTTTGTGCTTTGGCTTTGCATGATGCCACTATACCGTTGAGCCACCTTGCTTGATCTATGTCACTTCAACAATGAGTCATTATAAAATCATTCATATTAGTCTTAATGTCATTTTATCTTTTTGTATTATCATGACTTATTCAAATCATCTTTATAATTCTATGTCATTCTTTTAATATACTTAGGATTAAAATAAATTACAATTACCATACTTAAGTGGCTAAGATAAACTATAATGTATTTATAATCATTTTTTAAAATGAGACAAATATGCTTGGAAGTTATTTTTTTTGCAACATGGTAGTAGAACAAAGTTATGATAGGTTTTTAGGTTTGATGAGTCTTGCTTCTAGTTTAAGAAATAGAGAGAGAATTTAGCAAAAGAAATGGATGAAAGAAAATTGAAGTTTCCAAAGTGAGAAGTAGAATTGAGCAAATTAGTTGAAATTCAAAATTATTTTACTTGGAGCTTGAAAATAACAACCATCCTAA